AAGATGAACCAGATACTGGGAGAAAATAAAGACAGTTATGATAGTCTCCTAGCCCCTGAAACTAAAATTTCCTTTTAATGTCAGATTAGGGTGATTTCACATGAGTCCATTGGTTTTGACAAAGATGAGGAGTTGAGATCATTTAGGAACTCCAGCTGGGAAACCTGGAAACAGAGTGAGCAGCCCAGGACTAGAGTTTTAGGGAACGAAGAGGTAGGAATGGAGTCAAGTAACACTTGAAAACAAGAAGACAATCCTCTGGTTTCCATCCCTGGGGACTCTAATTTAACTGGCATAGCTAATAGATCTCCAAAAGCTCCTGGCTGATCGTAACATGCACTCATGATCAGCACCCTCTGAGCCAAAGGAGCTGTGTGCAGCTGGCATGTCCACACATGAAGGTGGACAGTAAGCCAGGCTCCGAAAGGTAGGAGCCTCTGCTCTCACTGTGGTCTGGGGAAAAGTGGGGAAGAGCAGGAGAGGACCAGAAAGCCATGGTGGGAATCAAGGTAAAGAGAGAAGCTCTTCTGACCCCAAAAATGTCCTGAATGATTGTATTTATCTTTTCCAAGAGAAGATGGGATACCTTATTTAAGGAGCTCAAGACTATACTGGAAAGACTGCACCAACCCCACTGGGATGGCCTCTTGGCACTTTTCCATTTCACATTCCATCTCTGTTGATGAACAGAAGAAGCTGCATATGGGAAGAGGTTATTTTCCACCAACTGTGTGAGTAATTCTTTGTTGGCCTGTATCCAATAGTAAAAACATGTAGGTGGAAAAGAAGAACGATACACATTTAACAAGGATCGAAAGTATTCTGTAGGTTCAGATCTTGACATGGTTATTAATGCCCCTAAAGTCTGCTAGTAAGTTCAAAGTAAGGGTTCTTTTCACCTGGGGTGCTTTAAAAAATACAGCTCTCTGAAGAGACACAGCACAGGGATTAGTCGCTGCCTGGGGCTGGGGTGGGAACAGGGAGTGACTGCAGAGATACAAGGATCTTTGGGGTGATAGAAATGTTCTAAAACTGGATTGTGGTGATGGTTGCACAACTCTGCAAATTGACTAAAAATCAACGAATTATACACTTAAAACGAATAAATTTTATCCTGTGTAAACTAAACCTCAATAAAACTGTTTTAAAAACTGAGGAATATAAAGGGGAAATTATGAAAGCCACAGAACCATACCTATTTAGTGGTAGAAAAATATGCAGCTTTATTCTTTAGTTTTACAACTACATGAACATGTCAGAAGCACTCATGTATTTTTTGGTTTCTCGTATAAATTCGTAAGAGTATCACACCCCAAAATAGAGCTTCCTAGGCTTCACCTTAAGAAATTCCCATTCATGTGTTTGAGGTGGGACTCAGGCATCTGTATCTTTTTTTAAACCGCTCCAGGTGACTAAAGGTTATAACCAGGTTTGAGTGTCATTGATGTAAAGCAAAAGGGAAAAAAACAGGCAAGGCACCTTATTTCTTTATCTCATTTGATTTTACTCTCAGCTGTCAGGTATCTTATCATAAATAAAAATTTTCTGCCAAAAACAATTTGGAATCATGGAGAGCGTAGTGATTTAGGTGCCCTGGAACAACAAGAAGTTCAAGATTTTGACACAGAATGTGAAACAACCAGCCTTGAACCAGCCGCATGCATGGAATAGCTATCTTGGCACACACCTTCAGAAGCCCACACATCCCATGATGTTCCAGGAAAGTCTTGGTTTCAGAGACTCTGTCCCACTGAGCTCACAAATCACCAGAATATTTTAGGAAGGAGAGGAACTGAGAGTGGGCAGGCATGAGAGAGGAAGTCTTGTGTTTCACTAGACACCAATTTATAGGTTTTTAGATTTTGAACCATGTACATGGGTTAAATGTTTTAATAATACAGTAAGTATAAAGCTTTGGCTTCCAAATTACATCTCACAGAAGTAGCTTGTACACTGAGTAGGAGCTCATGAATTTACAGCGCGATGGCTCTGGCCCCGATCCTGATATAGCAGATAACTCAACTGTTAAAGGCACATTCTATTGCTTTGAGCATTTCTTTTCATTCTTACACAACTAGGGAGAGATGTAGAATGAGATCTCACACCCTCGGGATTTTATAATCTTCTATGTACTCAGTTCAGTGGGTGAGGGCATGAATTTGGAGTCAGACAGCTTTATGCTCAGATTCTGTTTCTAACAATAATTAAATATGAGTCCTTGTTCTTGTACTTAAACTCTGTAAACCTTAGCTTGTTCACAAATAAAATGGGGATAAAAAGTACAACCCAAGAGGGCTGCTATAAAGAATGAATGAGATATAATACAGCAAATACTGAGTCCAGTACCAAGCACACAGTAATCCTAATCCAGAAGTGCATCCCTAAGGATGCAACGGGTCCAGTGGTCAGAGATTTGCTTTGAGAAATTCCAGAAGTCTGATCGCTCAGTGGTAGCCAGATCTAGGAGAGGAATGTACTGGCATGGGTCCACATTCACACAATTACAGCTCATGTTCTGGTGCAAGCCCAATTCTAATTTGATCTCTACCCTGGATTTCTTTTGGTAGCACGCAATACTGTCCAGACAGAAATCACAACAACCTGTGCCTCTCTGTGCTGGGGCTGCCATTTTGCAGGGACAGTTAACAGCTGAGTGCTGAAGGACAGGAAGGAGCAGCCAACAGGGAACCGGTCCGCTGCACCTGGCTTGGATACATACTTGTGAGATCTCCATGCTTTGGAAGGCAGTATATCCGCTTTGGTACAAAAAGCTAGGAAAACAACTTTCTTAAAAATAAACAGATTCCCAAGAGATCAATGGTCTGGAAAAATTCCTCTGAGATTCTCAGAGGCCCAGGATATAAACAGTAAGCAACTTCTCGGCTAACAAGCGCTAATTCACAGGGCCTCCAAATATAACACATGCACATACACCACAACTCATACACATCCCTGAAAAGTTGCAGTGTTTCTGAAAATGAGGCAAAGCACACACATTTCATTACTACAGCAGGACCACCTGAGTAGTCTCCCACCGCTGAGTCCTCCACACGTGGCTGAGCCCTGGGCCCTGTTCCAGACACGTGGGCCACAGCAACCCTGCCCTCTCAGAGATCCCGGGAACTCACAGAGAATCTTCTTCCTCCTAAAAACATCCCTCTTTCACATGGCTGATCATAGGAGAATTTCCCTATAGATTATGATTAGGAAGAAATGGAATTTTAAAACATCCTTCATTATTAGTTTGGGTGTATATTTCTTTTTCTTTCCTAATTTGCAAGCATGTAATTAGCTATCTACTGTTTGAAAGGCATTGTGCTAAATACTGTAAGGAAACAAAGTAACCGGACACAGAACTGCTTTCCCAACCGTTATGCTCTAATAGGGGTGATAAAATTTGCACAGAAAAAGTCAATATAAGGTGATACTGGTAATAATAATAATAATAATACTTCGTTATTAAGTCCTTACTCTGGGCCAGGCACTTTACATGCACACACACTTCCCAATAACCTTGTGAAAGAGTTACTGTCCCTGCTTTACAGGGCAAACAGAGTCTTCCAAGACCTAGATAATTTTTGTCAGGGTTCTAGTTAACAGCTGAACTAAAGTCCATTAACCACACACATGGTGGCCTCGAGGACATAAGAATGGTGTATTATATTTCACACCGTTTCTCAAAGCCAGAGATCGACAATATTTTTAATTTTTTAAGGTAATCTAGATTAAGAGTATCCCACTCAGACTTGGGAATGGACACAAAACAAAAGACCCGAGTCCCCCACAGCACCAGGACACTCTCCAGTCTCTGAGACAAAACTCGTTGTCCCATGAACAGTCACGAAGGGAACTTCGTGCAGGCAAGAGTAAAGTGCATCTTCTGCACGGTTCATTCTCCCGCACACCAGCCCTGGGTCTTGACTATTTTCACATTATGTTAAATAACAACATTCTCCCCCTCCCCCTTCAAGTCATGCTCCTACTCTCCCCTCATCTCATTCCTAAATATTCTTGGCCAAGCAGCTTTCTTTCTCCTAGTGGCCACGGGGGCTGAGTTCAGATTCTGCCTATTCTCTTACTGCTCAGCCGTTCCCAGACCTCCATGTCACAGATACCCGTAATCGAGAGATTCTAATCCTGGTGCAACTTTCCGACACATCAGTCTCGTTATTGGATTTGACATGAAGCCTGACTGGTGTACTGAGCATAAGGCCCAACACCATGAACATTTCATATAAACCATCAGTTGAAATTAACATAGTAATTAAGATTACATTGTACAGAATTCATCATTATCATTTCAACAAATGGAGTACAATTTTAAAAATCGGAATTTGAGAAGAACCTAAATGGTGGTCCTGGTAATGAACCAAAACGTTCCTGCACTCAATCAAATGTAGAGTACACAGTGTTCACTATTTAATTTTAGACTGAGTCTCATACATCATTGAAATGTATATGTTAGTGTTTTAAAAATGGATTCTTGGAAAAATAACCATGTAATCCCTCACTCCCTAGTATAAAAGGATTATTTTATAGAACTTTCTAGACATTTGTCAACTTCACATTTAATAAACTTAACATGTTTAACATTACAGAGTGTGTACAAGTGTGTCTCTTTCCCCCCCATCACATGTTGCATGGTTTCCATAACCATATTTCACTAACCATGCTTGTTTCCCTGCATATTTAGGATGACAGAGTTTTTGCTAGTACAAATGTTATCAAACTGGGCTGCGTTATAACATTCCCAATATTTTAGATGCCTCACCTGGATTAGATGCTCAGAAAAGAGATTACTCTTGTCAGATGATTTAAACACCTTTAAATTCTCCAGATGGAACCAGCTTATAAAGGCATTGCCTTTGTTGTGTTGCTATCTTTCAGATTCTCGCAAATTCTCAGAGGCTTTGTTGCAGGGGTGCCATGTGTTTTATAGATTCCTCTAAAGCCAACGCCCCGCTCTGAGTCAGCACAGGAGATCCGGCAATTGCACTCACCTTCCCCTCTCCCGCTGCCCTTCTGCCTGCTGTGCTGTAAGGGAAGCACCTCCAGTGACTCGATGCCGGACCTCTCCAGAATGTTCACTTCCACCATCAGCCTCCCCACCAGCTGCTGGGGACGCACGCTGATGACGTGCTCGTACTTCCCCAGCCGCCGCTGCAAGAGCTCTTCGTAACTGAGGAGGAAGGCCGCTTTGTCTTTGCTGGGAATCACGACAGAGGCTCTGAACATATCAGTTCCCTTCTCCCTATAAGGAAAATAAAAGGGAACACAGGGTCGGTCAGAGAAAGCCAGGTTCCCTCAAATCCCCTCAGGATCCTGGCCACTCTCTCAAGAGGGTCCTTAGAAGAAAAACTAGTGTTGGGAAGAGAACCAAAGGCCTGCACTAAAGGAAGGTTACAAAGTTTCAAGGAATACTGAAGAGTACAGAATTCAACTGTTCTTTCCTACCTCTCCTTTAGTCAGGCTTGAGGGACCCAAGGGGAAAAGGGAATACGGAAATAGGTGAACTGCTGGAAAAGAGAGTTTTGGGGTCAAGATATGAATTGCATTATTCTTTTTACATGAATGGCCAAATGAGCCTGAAATCTGATGTCATTTTAAAATAGCTAAAATCGTAAGTTTTTATAGGTAGTAAAGTTTGGTGGGTGTGGCTAGGGATAAGAATAAAGAATAAAGGATTGCAAAGCATATACAAATATAAGCCATTCCAAACGTTTTCAGTGTTTGGAATGAAGGTTCTCTGATTCAAGATGGCAGACTGACCGTAAAAGGAAAGGGATAGTAAAGGATTAAACCCAGACAATGAGTGGTAGGGGCAACCATCAGTGCGTACAGCACTTCAAAACATTTTTGGAAGATGGGGAATAGAGCAAGAACTCTACAGCTCAGACTATGGATCAAGATACAAACCATCTACAGAACATCAGAGAGATGGAAAGCTCGGGCTCAGCATAAGATGTGAGTGGGAAGGGCACCAACACAGGAAGGAGACATCCAAGTCCATATATGAATGAGTGACTAAAATGACAGGCTTCCTACACTACTCCTTCCCAGTGCTAAAAAGAGACACAACTATTAAGATGGAAAAGCTTCACTGAGAGCTGAGAAGAATGACTGAAGAAAGACTGACACTTGAACCCATTATTGTAAACTCTCAAAACATCAGGTAGAGGACACACAGAAAAAGAGTGGTATTAGACAACATTAGATGTACCATTAGCAACACTGGATGTTATGACACTAGGGGCAATGTCTTCAAAGTTGAGATGAAAAATTATTCTCAATCTTAAACTCCATATGCTGTCAAAATATTAATCAGGGTCTCAGAAAGTTTGCCTCTGATACATCCATTCTGGGGAAGTTACTTCAGAATATACTCCAGCAAAGTTAAAGTGAAAAAAGAAAGAGGAAGATATGGAATATAAGGAATAATAAAAGCAACCCAGAAGAAAATGAAAAGAAATCCCAGGGTAAACATTGATGACAAGGCTGCAAAGTAATGACAGTATTCCATGGACCTGGAGACACCATTCTTCCATAACTGACAGCTCCGAAATCAGGATGCGCCTCCCGATCCATGATGCCTTCCAACTGTTGTTGGCAATAACATGGATGTCACTGCTTATAGAACTGTCATAGTAGTTCATTTAGTCACCATTTCAAAAGAGTTATGTGTTTTGCTAGATGTTAATAGTGACAAATTAAGTTTTTTTTTAAAGATTTTATTTATTTATTTGACAGACAGAGATCACAAGTAGGCAGAGAGGCAGGCAGAGAGAGAGGAGGAAGCAGGCTCCCCACTGAGCAGAGAGCCTGATGCAGGGCTCAATACCAGGACCCTGGGATCATAACCTGAGCTGAAGGCAGAGACTTAACCCACTGAGCCACCCAGGTGCCCTGACAAATTAAGTTTTGCCTCATTAAAAGAAAGAAAGATAACTAAAAAGTCCAGGAAAAACAAATGCATATGTTGTGATCCAACTGAACTAAACTGTGGCATAATTATGAATGACTTATGAATTGTAATGAAACATAATCCTCATAAGACTCATCTGATAAAGACCACTTGGGACCCACCTGCCATCCAACAAAGCTAGGTTTCAATAAACTGCTGCAGTAAGGGAAATTACACACCAAAGGCATCATGGAGAGAGAATCTGGCCAAACAAAGGTATATAGGATTGGGAGAAAAATGGAGTGCAGATAAAGTTAAATGAAGCAATGATTGGAGGCTTGAAACAAAGCAGGGCTGTGTGTAAAGTGGTTAGTATCACCCTGGACTGAGAAGCAAAGTCAAGGTTCTGTCCTTAGGAACTACAAAGTTAAGATAAATGTGGACTTTTGTGGCCAACGATGTCTTATCTGAAGCTGTGGACCTTGGCTGCTTTTTGTATCAAAGTAAACCCATGACTCACATCTTCTAGGCAAGAGTGAGATATTCCATTCTTGCTAATAAGATTTCCAAAAGCAAAGTTTCTGACAGTCTATGATTTTAAAGAACAAACTTTCTCAAAACTACATCCTTTTATTAACGAACAAAAACAGGTTCACATGTTCACACCAACTTATCTGGATAACAGGATTGTTTTTCTTCAAAGGAAACAGATCACTTTACTTCAAATGGGCTGACAGAGAGGGAAATAGAATCTTAGTATACCAAGTGGCTCTGCAGTTAATGACTTTCATGTAATCATTAAAACTCAAATACTAGTCCTTGGTTTTCAATGTTTAGATTGAAGTTATAGACAAAACAAAGAAAATATACACCATTAGAGATCAAAATTTAAATGTTGGTAATTTTGACAGTGCAAAAGTAAATGATCATGTAGAAAAAGATGGGTACCAGAAATGGAAAAGGAAACATAGGTTTTCAGTGAAGGAGTGGAAATTTAAGATAGGTCTAGTCTAAGATGTGTAACACGGCTTACACTGACGAAAGAAGAGAAAAGAATGTGAAAATGTGGAACGCAGAGGGAAGGTGGGAGTGTCCTACGTATGCTAAATCCTCTTCCTTCCTGGCAGAAAATCAACAGATAATGTCTGATGTTTATCAAGAAATTTTTTTTAAAAAATGAGACTACCATAAGCTTTAGAGTTAGGGAAGTCGCTACAAAAAGAAATTACAGAAATATTAGAAGTGGATGTTTCTAGGAAGTGAGATCTGGGGATTCAGAGTGATAAAATGTTCCTTTTACTATAAACCTTTTCCTTCTATATTGTTAACTGTATATATTTAATTACCGACTCTACGGTAATAATAAAAAGCAGATAAATCCTTGAAGGAAGGGAAGAAAAGAAAAAAAAAGTTGGCAAAGGAGTATGAAATGAGGCCCTTTGCTCAAGTGGATTTTAATTCCTTAACTCAATGGCACTTACCCATTATCTTCTGATGTTTTATTCCTTTTCTCTTTCACCTTATCACCATTTTTCTTTTCTCTCCCTGTAATTTCTCCCTGATACACCTTGTCTCCTATGAGCCTGAAACACAAGAGACAGCTATGTTACCAACTTGCAGTTCCAAGACCAATTCAAACGTGGATCTCATAACCATGACAACCCTAGAAAATATTTTTATGTGACTCTTGGATGTCCAGAAAGGATGCATTCCAGACCACGGCATTACCCTTGAATTATTCATTTCATTCTAGGGCAATTTTAAAATAGGTCCAAATAGTCAGGCTTGACCCGTGGTGCCTCCGGGATTCTCCAGGAGGACATCAGATCTGTTCGAATTTCCATGAAGATTCACCAGCTTGAATCTTGCCCAGACCCAAAATGAAACCCCCAAATCCACCCTACTTTGCATGTCTTTACCTCCTAGTTCAGAAGAAAAGGAGAAATAGTTTATTTTGAATATCATATGGATCATGCTATCTCATCATTCAGACCTCAACTTAAACACTGCCCCTTCTGAGCTACCTCCCTGATTTCTCCCTGTCTAGACAAGCTCCTCTCGGTGCTACTTGCCATCTTTAAGCACTTGCTACAGTCTGAAATTATCTCATCTATTGATTTGTTTACTTACTTATTATTTTTCCCCACTGCAATTTCTGTAGCCGAGCAACACTGTCTTTTTCATAGAAATATACCGATCACTTTGAAGAGCTCCTGGCTCAGAGTGGGCACTCATTTGTTGGATGGAAGAAGAGAAAGACAGAGGAAAAGAAGAGGAATGGAAGACGGGAACACAGGAACAGAACCAAAGAAGAGACTGTGGAAAGGAAGGAAGGAGGAAGAAGGGATAAAAGGGAGAGAGAAAGGGAAGAAGGTAGGTAGAGAAGGAAGGAGAGAGGGAAGGAGGGAGTCAACCTTCTGAGCCCCATGCCATCTGCTGGGAGAAATTCTCACACCCTAAGGCTGTGGAGCTCACGTCCTCTCAGGCTCACCCTGGCTACCCCACACTGACATCTCTATTCCAGGGTCTCTGACCAGAGTGTCACTTACATAGTGAAGTTGGTGATGAAAGCTGCGGCTGGAATCTGCAACTGAAATTCAATTTCCTGGTCCTCGGAAGCTCTATTCAGCATTCTACAGGACACAGTAGTGAAGGCGTAACGAGAAATAATGGTAGACTTCACTGAGAATTCTGTCATCAAGGGTTTGGTTTTCTGTTGGAATTAAAACACACGGTATTTTCAGTGACATGTGAAAGTGCAAATCAATCACTCTGGGGTAGGTGTGAAGCTCTGTTTTCATCAGAGAAATCATCTTCAACTTGGCAACCTTTGGCAAATGACTCCTTTCTTCTTTGTCTTGCCCTCGCTTTCCCCCTCACCACTCTCTCCACTCATACAACAACTATGGTTGGACAACCAGCTCATGAGAGAGAAGCGTATCTTTTAACTTAACTTAAACAAAGGGACACAGTGAAGATTTCCTATTTAACAGAGAATACACACTGTTGAAGTAGTTTAATGAAGTATTGGAATTTTAGAAGTCAAGTATGTGAAGTATGTAATGCTTTTCTGTTATAAAATTTTAGATCACATTTACAGGATCATGAAATTGATGAACACATCAGGGCACACCTATTTCCAAATCAAATTCAATACCCACTTAGAGAAACAAGATTCCAGAGCTTTCCCATGGAGACCACAATCACATTACTGGAAAGTGGGAATCGATACTGAGCTCAAGACAGTATTTGGGGTATTAGAAGCCAGGAAAAGGAAAGTGTATGCTAATTAAATTTATCCTGAAGCCTCTGATAAGAGCAGTCGCTACATGGAGCAGATTTAAAAGCAGGTTAAAACTTTTCAGTGTATTTCTAGCCTTCACAACAGTGCTCCATCTGAAGGCATCTGAAAGCAGACGTTGAAGAAGGAAGGAAGCATTAATGAGTAAAGCAACCAAAGCAGTTCTCTAACTCCAAGAACTGGCTGAACAAGTTATAGGCACAGACTGAACATTTGTGTCCCTCGTCCACCCCCACAACACCCCCAACAAATTCATGTGGTAAAGCCCTAACCGCCCCCCACCATGTGATGGTACTTGGGGATGGGCCTTTGGCGGTTGAGTAGGGTTTGATGAGGTCACAAGGGTCTTCCTGATGGGGTGAGTGTCCCACAAGAGGAGACACAAAAGAGCTTGCTCTTGTTCTCCATGAGGACACGGAGAACAGGCCACACAAGTGAGCATGTGGCCTTCTATAAGCTAGGAAGAGTCTGCACCAGAAAATGAACCCTGCCAGATACTGACCTTGGACTTTGCAGTTTCCAGAACAGTGAGAAAATAAATTTCTGCTGTTTATGTCTATGGTATTTTGTTATGGCAGCCCAAGCAGATTAAGAGGAGGCATTATCTCTTTATGGACTTGGACACACATTCAGGGTACGTGTTCTTTATCCCCATTTCAAACATGAGAAGAAGTCAAGCTTTCAAGTTTACATATTGGCCCATTAACAGTAATGGAGAAGAGACTTGAACTCGATCCCACCTGTTCCAGAGTCCACACTCACCACCATGGAGCTAGCTGCCTCAGCGGATACGTCTTTCTATCTCTGGGTCCTCCAACCCCAGCACGGTCTTCAGCACACCACAGGCTCTCAATAAATGCTGAACAGAGCCACGTTACTCTGATAGGATTCTACTTTCCCTACGGGAAGTGACCTACCTAGTCAACGTTTCTCTTGACTTGCGTCTGCTCTCTGAATTTCTTTCCAGCCCTAAGCTAGTTTTCAAAATAAATATAAGATGATGCCCTGTTGGTATCAGGGCATATTGCTTCTGTGACACACAGAGGGAATCTAATACTCCATTTTAAGAGTTTCACAGTGTGTCGTTCTATTTAAACTTATTGAAATGTTGGAGTCAAACCATACCTTTCACAGCAAACCACTGAAAGCTGGACAGATGCTTTATACAACATGTTAGAGAGGTAGGGTTGAGTCCCCTTCAGTACAAAGCACATCTGAGAACACACGTGAACAGACTCAAGATGGGAAACTGCACAGAACAAGGCCAGAATGGGCGAGCGCTGGACACAGAGGTCAAGGGATTATTCATCTTTGTGGCTGAACTTTTGGTCTTGGTGACTCGAAAGGATAAAAACAAATGGCAACAGGCTCAAGAAAAAATGTTAAGAGAATGTGTATCTTTCTTGGAAAGTTGGAAAAAGATAAGCACAAAGGTTCCGTAAAGTGGTGATCAAGTAGGACCAAAAAAATCTAAACATATTTGAAAGACTTCTTCACCTGCAAGAGGAAAAGAGGTTCTCCAGTTTGGTCTGAGAAGGAATTACATCAAAGCAGCGGTTCTCAAGAGTGGTCCCAAGACTGGCAACATGAGCATCACCTGGAAATCTGTTAAAAATGCAGAATTTCAAACTCCATCCCAGACTTGCAGAATTAGAAACACAGGGGGTGGGGCCAGAAATCTGTATTTTAAAAAGGGATCCTGATGCTCAAGTCTGAGAACCACTGTTTTAAAGTAACATAAGGAGGTGGCCCTCTTCAGATTTCTTCATCTCTAAATTAAGAGGGCTTGAATAAATCAATAAAATTATGTCCGCCTTTAGATCCAAGAATCTAAGGTAAAGCCTAAAGTAAGGAATGAAATGGGCTTTTAGGAAACTATTCTGGAATTTAGAAATTGATTGTAAATGGTCTCCACGGAAATCTAGTCTCCTTGGGACAATATCTGTCTCTCCAGAAGTGATTCAGATTAAAAAGAGATTCTAGATGTGGTTTAACCAAAGGCTTCTGTTAAATGATCTCATTAAAAATATATATACCACATTTCAGGGTGCCTAGGTGGCTCAGTTGGTTAAGCGTCTGGCTCTTGATTTCAGCTCGGGTCATGACCTAAGTCCAATTTGTGGGATCGAGCCCCTCATCAGGCTCTGCGTTGAGCTTGGAGCCTATTTAAGATTCTCTCTCTCTCCCTCTGCCTCACCCCCTACTTGGGCACATGCTCAAGCTTTCTCTAATATAAATAAATAAACCTTTAATATATATAGATTTTATACACACACACACACACACACACACACACACACACCACATTCCAGTAAAGACAATGAAGATAAGGCTGGGGAAGGTGGTAATGATAACGACCTTAAGAGCACAATAACCCACTGGGGTTTTTTTAATTAAAATTTGTGTCTGCTCATCTTTCCAAAATGGAACCTTGAGATAAATTAAAGCATAAATTGAGATGCAGTGTTTTACTTTTATTCAGGTTTCCCTGGAAGCAGGTTTTCTTCCTAAATTATCCATGTTTCAACATATTCTTTTATCTCCAATATCCTTATATTCTTAAATACGTGAATTTGTGAAGGGTTTCAATACCACAGCACACAACTCTAATTTCTATAGATGCACTGGGTAAAAAGGAGCCAATGCTAAAAAAAAAAAAAAAAAAAAAAAAAAAAAGAAAGAAAAATCCCTTGAACTGAGAAAATTGTAATTACTATCCACCACTTTATTTAAAATGTAAACCAATTTTTAAAAAATATCAAGTAACATATGCACATGGTAAAAACTTCAAATTACACAAAAACAAAAGGAAACACAATGGTCTCCCTCCTGCCCTAGATCTACAGTTCAGTTCCCCAGAGGCAATACTTAAACTAACAGGTTTTGGTATTATCCTCCCATAAATACGTGCTGTGTTGATTTGCTCTAATTTCATCTAATGATACAGTGCGTCATCCTTTAGTATCTGTGCACATTCCAATCACCTCATGCTGCATAACCACTCTAAAACTTAGTGCTCTAACAACAGCAATCATGGCGTTTTCTCTTGTGGCTTCTGTGGTCAGGAATTCTAGAAAGACTTGGCTTGGGAGGGGGTGTGCAGTCAGAAGGTGGCTGAGCTGGAAGAGTGAGCTGCTGAGGCATCTCAATGCTGGCTGACATTTCTCTATCTCTTGTTGTCCCAGGACCCCTCTACATGGTCCTTCCACATGGTCACGTTCAGACTAACTCACAGCATGGACTACCTCACACATTAGTCCAACTGATGACTGGAGGCTAGAGGCTTCATGTGTGCACATTTCCCAACATCGAGGCGGAAGCTCCATCCCCTTTCATGCCCTAACCTTGAAAGTCACATAGCATCATTGCCACCATACTCTCCTGGGCAGGAGAGTTGCAAAAGTACATTCGATTTCAAAGGCAGAGGGTCCAGACCCTATCTCAATGGGAGGAGTGGAATATCAAAGTGCCCCTATCTTTGAAAAATGCAATCTGCCACCGTACAAACAAATCCCTCTCATTCGTCTTTTAATAGATGCACAGTACTTTCTTTTTTTTTAATCATTTTTTAATTTATTTTCAACATAACAGTATTCATTGTTTTTGTACCACACCCAGTGCTCCATGCAATCCGTGCCCTCTCTAATACCCACCACCTGGTTCCCCCAACCTCCCACCGCCCCCCACCTCTTCAAACCCTTCAGATTGTTTTTCAGAGTCCATAGTCTCTCATTGTTCACCTCCCCTTCCAATTTCCCCCAACTCCCTTCTCCTAACTCCCCATGTCCTCCATGCTATTTGTTATGCTCCACAAATAAGTCAAACCATATGATAATTGACCTCTCTGCTTGACTTATTTCACTCAGCATAATCTCTTCCAGTCCCGTCCATGTTGCTACAAAAGTTGGGTATTCATTCTTTCTGATGGAGGCATAATACTCCATAGTGTATATGGACCAGATCTTCCTTATTCATTCGTCCGTTGAAGGGCATCTTGGTTCTTTCCACAGTTTGGCAACCGTGGCCATTGCTGCTATAAACATTGGGGTACAGATGGCCCTTCTTTTCACTACATCTGTATCTTTGGGGTAAATACCCAGTAGTGCACAGTACTTTCTTTTTATAGATGCTCTATATTTTAATTAACCAGTCCCCTATCATCCATAAAACCTTTGTAAGTATTTATTATTATTATTATTATTATTATTTATAATTATTTTGCCCCTGCCCTCTGATTCAGCTACACCAGGGGTTGACAAACTATCTACAGGATTTTGTAAATAAAGTTTTACTAGAACATAAATTCATTTATACCCATTCATCTGCATATTGTCTACGGTGACTTCCATGCTCCAAAATAGAGCAGTTGAGTAGTTTTGTAATTGTGGCAGGCTATACAGCCTTGCAAAGCT